GTGAGTGCTTGCTGACCCCACATGGCCTCAGCCTCGCTGCTGCACGAAATCAGACCCCGCTATTACTGTGGTTGATGGCGCAGGTCTGGGGTGGAGGTACAGCCTGGCCTCGGGTCCCCCCTTGCAGGGACCATGCACGCTCAGGGGTCCTGTGGTAGGGTTGTCTGCACCCATCAGGGACCTGGAGGGCCAGAGACCGGAGGTAGTGCTGCCTGGAGAATGGGATCCTGAATCAAATGTGGGGTGTGATGTTGATCTTCTTCTGCTGGGTGAGCTCAGGCAAGTCACTTCCGTACCTCAGTTTCCCCATCTGCCAGATCTCTGCAGACCTCTGTTCCTTTGAGTGCAGCTTCAGAGAAAAGTGCCAGATCACAGTACCCAAAATCCAAGCAGGAGACACCTAGAGTCAAGATAGCCTGACTCTCTGTATGGGCTGCAGTTCTCTGAGGGGGTACCTGGGGGTCTGGGAGGGGTCCTGGAGGGTGCAGAGGGGTTACAGAGCTGTGGGGATCAGGGAGGTCAGGGAGTGTTGTTACTCTCTGGTTCCTGATGTGGATGTGAGGGGGATGCAGAGCCCCGCCCTGCCCACATCCATGGGCAGCCCCCTCAACGGGATTTATGAAGCTAATTGTTTTTTCTGCCCCATTAAGTGGAGAGGAGGAGGAGGAGGATGTGGAACGCTTCGGCCGTGCCTGTGCTTTCCTCACTGCTCTCATCTCAAGTCACAGCAGGAGGCTGGGAGCAGCAGTGCCACAGAGCCCCCTCAATACCAGTGGTCTGCTGATGTGGGGTGTGGGACGACCTCAGTGCATGCCCTGCATTTCCTCCCCTGCCACAGGAGGAAGGGTCCAGGGCAGGACTTGCTTCCATCTAGGATGGGCTTCAGGCTGGCAGTGGGGATCTGGCTGGAGCAGCCTGGCAGGGACATGGTTGGTGGGAGCCCTGGCTGGTGCCAGTGGGTCTGGATGCTACATGGGCAGGTGTCTGTGTTGGTGTGAGACAGATGAAGCAAAGAGATTTCAAAACCGTCCAACTCCAACAGCAACCTCTGCTGAGAAATATACCAGGGGTACTCCTCTGTACAGGGCTCAGTGACTGTGCTGATGCCCAAGGGTCTGCTGTGACTAGCAGTGATCCTCTGCTGTCATCCCACACCAGGCCTATGGCTCTGGCGGGGTCAGAGCTGCCTTTCTAAAGGGCTGTAGTGCTGGGCTGTGCTAGGCTGGCTCCCCTACCACCTGGGATGCCCAGATTTGGGCCCAGCGGAAGCTGCTCTAAGCATTGCCTGAGCCATGGCGGGGCTGAGGCAGCCAGCCAGGAGAAGAGGAGGGAAGGGACAGCACACGGCATCGTGCCAGGCCAGAGGGACCAGAGGGAGCAGTGCTGGATGGGCTGTGCTGCCGCACCCCTTGGCCCACACGACTATAGGACTGCACTACCAGCCCCTTGCCATGAGCTCCTGCCATGGTGGGTGTGGGCATGAGCTTATCAGTGGGGACAGGGATGGTCAGGTACCCATGTCCTGAGTGATGGGGCAGTGGGGAAGGAGCCAAGAGGCGTCGCCGCTGTTGCTTCAAGGAAGGAATTACTTATTTCCCAGCCTGCTGGGTCTGGTCTGTCTTGCCAAGGCTGCAGTTAACTCTCTCTGCCCTCTGTGGCCATGCCACAGAGAAATTGTCTCTGGTGTTACTATCCCGGTGAAGACCCTACCTTGCAACATGGCTCTTGCTGTGACGGCGAGAGAGAGAGAAAAAAAGAAAAAATTTTGGTCAGTGAAAGGCAGAGTGGGGCAGGCATGGCTGGCCTTTCTGGGATGAGCACCGGGGTTGCTGGAAGCAGCTGTCCCGGCACCCCAAAGTGGGATCCACATTAGAGAAGTGGTTTCTTTGGGGAGAGAGAACAGGGTGGTTTGGGGGGCAGTCGTCCAGGCCCAGTGCTGAGGAATGACCTGTGGTATCACATTGTGGGGTGGACTAGGGGTCACTGCTGCTATGTTTGGAGACGTGAATCGTGCCTTGGGGGCTCTGCGGGCATCTGGGGGGACGCTGGGGGACACGAGGGACAGGGGTCGGGGCCGCGGGGCTTGCAGCCGGGACCCCGGGCCCGTCCCGGAGGGGACAGGGAGGGGCCGAAGGACGGCGGAGGGGGTCCGGTGCCGCTGTCGCTTTAAGGCGCGGGCAGCGGGGCGGTCCCGCCGCCCCCCGCCCCTCTCGCCGCCCGGCGGGGCCGCGCAGCGCCGCGGGCAGCGCGATGCTGCGGGCAGGGAGGCCGCGTCGCGCCCCGCGCCTCGCCAGCAGGTACGGCACGGGCAGGGAACGGGCACCGCAGCGGTACCGGGCGGGGGCGCGGCCGGAGCGCGGCCCCGGCAGACAAAGCCCCGCGCCCCGGGGCCGCTCCGCGGGCGGTGCTTTGTTTCGGCCGCGCTGCGGGGTTGGGGGGGACGAGAGGGGGGTCGGGGCAGCGCGGCCGCGCCCGGCACCGCGGCACCGGGACATCGGGGCGGCTCCCACGGGCCTTCCCATCCTCCGCCCCGGCACCCCATTCCTCCGCCCCGGCCCCCGCCCCGCACCTGCAATACGGCCGGGCCGGCTCTCCGCGGGGCTCCCGAGGCTCTGGTGGCCCCGCACGTCGGGTCTGACCCCGGGGCTGCCGAGTCGGGGCGCGGCCGGGGCGGAGCGGAGCATCCCCGCGCACTGCGCCGTGGTCCAGGTCCATCCCCCGCTCCCTACCGGTGCAGCCGCCTCCCCACGCCGGGGCTGGGGTCAGCGTGCTCATCCCCGAGGCCATGCCGGACTATCCCGCCCTCAGCGGGTCCCGTCCGCCCGCCGGCGCCGCGGAGCGCGGCAGGACGGACACGCTGCCCTTGAGCATCCCCGTTCCCGGGAGCTGCTGCGGTGGGTTCGGTGCGGGGCCGTCTGCAGGAGCTAGGAATGGCTCTGGGTAAGATGGAGGGGATGGAGCACAAAGCAGGGGGTCAGTTTTGCCCCATAGTGGCACTCTGATATGGCTGCCCCCCGTTCGCGGTTTCAGGGGGGCGTTGAGGGTGCCAGGACTCGGCCATCTCCAGGAGTTTGTGCTTGTTGAGGGGCCAGTGGTGCTGTGGTTGAGGATTTCCTTGCTATGCTGCCTATGGCATACACGTACTAGTTTGGGGGATTCCTCAGTGCACCAGCCGTGTGTCCCATGTGCATAAGAGAGTCAGAGACACCCTCACAATGTGCAGCTGGCTCCCCAGCCTCACCTCATGGTTTTAGTGATTTTAGGATGTGACCTTCCATGTTATCTTTTCTTGGCACAGGGCTGTCAAGGACGATTTGGAGTTACCTCCTGCCTTGGACTAACCTCTGACTCTGTGCCCCTTTCTCGGAATGCCTGGGGCACTGGTGGTGTCACATACGTGGCTGGGAGAGTGTTTGGGGTTTCCCTGCCTGGCCCCAAAGGCCAGACTGAGACACCCACCACCACATGTGGCTCTAGCCATGTTGCCATAGGACACAGCCCTACAAAACCTGGCCTCACTCCTGGCACTGCCCGCTGCCAGGTGATGCCAGGCTGGGAGAGGAGCTTTGCTGCACACTCTGGGGTAGGGATATCCATCCCAGTGGGAACTCACACTAGGCATAGGGCTGGTGGTGAGACATGGCTTGGAGCTCAGGGGCTCAGCAGCTCATCCTGAGTGCATGATGAAATCTCTTCCTGGGTAGCAGCCCCTGCTGGCTCTGTCCCAGAAGCTGCTGTGGGGGCACAGGGGGCTGTGTCCATCCTGGCTCTGGCCAGTCTGTGATGAGCTCCTCCTCGATGGAAAGAGCAGGACACGCAGCGCAGGTATTATGTTGTTGGAGCTGCCTTTGTTGCTCCTTCTTGAGCTTTGCACATCGGACAGGGATGGTGGTGGCTGTTGCTTTTGCTGTGCCACTGCTGTTGGGACTTAAGTGTTTGCTGGGCTTTGCTTGCACCTCTGTGGCCCCAATGTAGAGAAACAGGCATCTCTTGCAGGGTCTGGGGATGGCTGCAGCTCCCAGCTCTGTGCCCCATTCCTGCGCCACAGCTTGTCACAGAATCATGGCATGGTGTCAGTTGGAAGGGACCTTAGAATTCATCTTGTGCCCCCCCTGCCATGGCCGGGGGCACCTTTCACTAGACCAGGTTGCTCTAAGCCCCATCCAACCTGACCTTGAACATTTCAGTGATGAGGCACCCACAGCTTGTCTGAGTAGCCTGTTCCAGTGTTGTCTCCCCCAGCCTCTCACAGGCCCTTGGAGGCTGCGAGGTCTCACTGACCTACTCAGCTGCTGACCTGAAAGGTGCTGTGCTCATCCTGCTGGAAGGTGCTCCATGCCTGTCTGTGCCAGATCACCACAGGCACAGCCCTCCGCTGTGGAACCAGCCGTGCCCTTGGGGCACCCAGGCTGCCCCAGTGTGGTGCTGACTGATGGCCCTTCAGATGGGCTTCTGCACACTTGGTTGAGCCCTGGCATGGAGCAGCCACCTCGGCACAGCTGCAGATCCCAGACTTGCTCCCTCTCGCTGCTGGGGGCTGGAGAGGTGCAGTAGGGTGCAGTGGGTGGGGATCACCCCAGGAAGGGTGCATGCTGTGGGGTGGTTGGTTTGTTTATTCCAGCAGTCCTGCCCTTAATGACAATCCCGACCTGCCTCCAGGGTCAGAGCAGGTTGCCAGAAGTTTGTTGCCAGCTGTGATGCTGCCAGCCTTGTGGCATGGGTGCTGGCTGCTTTGAGCTTTGGAGGTCCCTCCATCCCCAGCAAGGCTCCACAGAGCCTTAATGGGGGAGAAGCAGGGTCACTGAGGCTTGTGTGCCAGAGGAGCCCATGAGCACATGACAGACTGGGCTGGAGCCAGTCATGGCCCTGCATGCCATATCCCTGCCATGGGCACTACTAGGAGCTGGTTTTTGCTCCAGCAGCCCCTGGAACAGGGAGATCCTGTGGGTGGTGGGACCCATTGGGCTGAGCAGGGGTCTGATGCTGTCTCTCCCTCACAGCTGGGATGAGAGCAGCTCCATCAGCAGTGGCCTCAGCGATGCCTCAGACAACCTCAGCTCGGAGGAGTTCAATGCCAGCTCCTCGCTCAACTCCCTGCCCTCCACCCCCACCGCCTCACGCAGGAACTCGGCCATAGCGGTAGGTGCCAGTGGCACCCGGACCTTTCCGGCACCTATCCCAGCTTTCCTGCCACCACCTCGGTGGGAAAGAGGGCATGGAGGGTGCCAGTGTGAGGAAACAAGGATGGCACAGGGCGTCTGCTGTGTCCTTCTCCCAGCTAGCTGATGTCTCTGGGGATGGGGTTGGGGTGGGTGCCAAGAGTGCCCCTGACTCTGCTCTGCCCCCAGCTGCGCACGGATTCAGAGAAGCGCTCACTGGCAGAGAGCGGACTGAGCTGGTACGGTGAAGGTGACGAGAAGGCACCCAAGAAGCTAGACTACGATAGCAGCAGCCTCAAGATGGAGCATGGCTCCTCCAAGTGGCGACGGGAGCCCTCGGAGGGCAGCGAGGAGGGGCCCAAGGGTGGTGAGCTGAAGAAACCTGTCAGCCTAGGCACCCCGGGCTCCCTCAAGAAGGGCAAGACTCCTCCAGTGGCTGTGACCTCCCCCATCACCCACACAGCCCAGAGCACCCTCAAAGTGGCAGGTAAAAACCAGTTTCGGCAGGGTCCAGCTCCTTTGATGTGGAGAAGGTTGAGTGGTGTCTTTGTGTGCCTTCCCCAAGCATGTGGGCCATGAGATGGCCTGTGGCTGTGCTCTGACACGAGAGCTGGGTGTGGGCTGGAAGGGAAGCAGGGCTGTGTTGCGGGCTGCAGGCAGGTTGGGGGTCTGTGCCTGCCCCATGGTCTCATGTCCACACACCAGGCTGGGGGGTCATTGAGTGCACCAAGGGTCTGGCATGTCCCTTCTCCGTCACATCCCTGTGTCTCTGGTGCCCGTGTCCTGTCTGGGCTCGTTCACTTCCAAATGTCCCCAAAGCCTCTGGGGACACTAACCTGTCCTTTCTTGCCACCAGGCAAGCCAGAGACCAAAGTCACTGACAAGAGCAAGCTGTCAGTGAAGAACACAGGTCTGCAGCGCTCTTCCTCTGATGCCGGCCGTGACCGCACCACGGACGCCAAGAAGCCGCCATCAGGGCTTGCACGCCCCTCATCCTCCAGCTCCTTTGGCTACAAGAAACCAGCTCCTGCTACTGGCACTGCCACTGTCATGCAGGCTGGGGGCTCGGCCACACTTGGCAAGATCCAGAAGAGTTCTGGCATTCCTGTTAAGCCAGTCAGTGGGAGGAAAACAAGCCTCGATGTCTCCAACGCACCTGAGCCTGGGTTCCTGGCACCAGGGGCTCGCTCCAACATCCAGTACCGCAGCCTGCCCCGGCCGGCCAAGTCCAGCTCCATGAGTGTGACCGGGGGCCGCAGTGCAGCCCGGCCTGTCAGCAGCAGCATTGACCCCAGCATGCTGAGCACCAAGCAGGGTGGCATCTCGGTGTCGCGGCTCAAGGAGCCGTCCAAGGTTGGCACTGGCCGTGGCACACCAGCCCCTGTGAACCAGACAGACCGTGAGAAGGAGAAGGCCAAGGCCAAGGCAGTGGCGCTTGACTCTGAGTGCAGCACCCTGAAGAGTGCCAGCTCACCTGAGAGCACCCCAAAAGCCCAGGCCAACCTTCCGCCAGCAGCCAAGGTGGCCGAACTGCCCCCTACACCTCTCAGGTATGGTCCTTCCACCTCCGAGGGCAGCAGGTGCCTGGCACAGCTGTGCCCAGCACCAGCGCCTGAGCCTCACCTGTTTCCGTACCCATTTCCCCCCTCCAGAGCGGCTGCCAAGACCTACGCAAAGCCTCCTTCGCTGGCCAACTTGGACAAGGTCAACTCCAACAGCCTGGACTTGCCCTCCTCCAGTGAGCTGCACACCCCACATACTGCCAAGCTCCAGGACTTGCACCCGGCTGGTGGGCACCTCGCACCCTGCTTCAGCCCCAGCCCTGCCCCCATCCTCAACATCAACTCGGCGAGCTTCTCCCAGGGCCTGGAGCTCATGGGTGGCTTCAGTGTTCCCAAGGAGGGCAGGATGTATTCCAAGCTCTCCGGCCTTCACCGCAGCATGGAATCCCTACAGATGCCCATGAGCCTGCCCAGTGCCTTTTCAGGGGGCAGCACCACCACCCCCGCCCCTGCTGCTGCACCCCCTGCCAGCACAGAGGAGGAAGAGGAAGAAGAAGAGGCAGGAGAGCTGGGCTGGAGTGGGAGCCCCCGGCTCACACATCTGGACAGGTACGGCTGGAAGGAGGTTGGTGGGCTGCTGCAGCACCTTCATGGGCTCACATCGATACCTGCTGTTCTGCCATGTCCTTTGCCTGCTTCAGTCTCTTCCTGCTATATTTCTAGGGAAAAGCTCCCTGTTCCTGCAGCTCAATCCCCATAGTTTGTTCCCTAGTCTACACAGGGATGTCACTGATCTTTCCTTCCCTTCCAGTGCCAACCGCGACAGGAACACGCTGCCCAAGAAGGGGTTGAGGTAAAAGAGCCCAAATCACTTTTGGATGGTGCTGGGGCGGGAAGGTGGGGCTTTCCAGTGCAGTGCCCCTGAGCCAGGGAAGCTGGGCTGCAGGAGCTGGACGGTGCTGGTCGATCTTACCGTGCCTGTCTGCGGCTCCCCAGGTACCAGCTCCACTCCCAGGAGGAGGCCAAGGAGCGGCGCCACTCACACGCAGTCAGCGGGCTCCCCGAGTCGGATGAGCAGCAGGAGCTGCCCTCGCCCCCCGCCCTCCCCATGGCGCTGGTCGGGAAGGGTCCGCTCACCAGCATTGGTCAGTGCCCTCCGCTGCTGGTCCCTTCCCTCCTGCTCCCTGTGCTCCCTGTGTGATGTGCTGGTGCTCCCCCGGGTGCTGCTTGTCTCCTAGACACCACCAACACCAGCACCTGGTGCTTTGGGTGCTGGATTGGGACCAGGGATGTCCATCACTTCTGCTTTAGGGCATCTCATCCCCCTTCGGGCCTCAGGCCATAGCTACTACGCTGGGGGTGCCTGGTGAGGCAAGGAGTAATCCCTACCCTGATCTGACCAGGACCTGCATGTTCCTGGAGGGTTTGGGGTGGGGTCCAGGCAGACAGGGTGGGGCAGCAGGCTCTACTCCTGCACCTGCAGGTGTTGGGCCATGGTGCAGTGGTACTCACTTGGCCCTGGGGCAATGAATTTGGTTTTCAGCCCTGTGATTACTTTGGTGCTGGTGTCCAGGTCTTCCCAGCATCAACCTGCCTTTTAGCTTTCCCCGGCCACTCCCTGCTTTGGGACCACAATCCCTGCTTCCTCACTGCATCACAGCTCTAGTGGATCGCTCCCAGTCCTGCTTCCCCATCCTGATGCCAGGTCCCCAGCGTGACTCTGACCCTGCCTCCTCCCTGCTTTCTCCTTGCAGTGAGCCCCACTGCCACAGCAACCCCGCGGATCACCCGCTCCAACAGCATCCCCACCCACGACTCCACCTTCGAGCTGTACAGCACCTCCCAGATGGGCAGCACCCTCTCCCTGGCCGACAAGCCCAAGGGCATGATCCGCTCGGGCTCTTTCCGGGACCCTGTGGACGATGGTGAGAGTGTGCTGCGCTCCTGCCCAGGCACAGGAGGCTGCAGAGGATTGGTGGGGCTCTGTGCACCCTTGTCCTTTCCTACTGGTGCTGCCATGACGTTTTTAGATGGTTCGGTGTGTCCCGTTCCTTGGCATCAGAGCAGGGATAGCAACGCTGAGGGGTCTGTTGGAGACCCCTCAGCTGACATCAGCCCTGGGTCTGCCCTGACCCCATGGGTACTCAGCGTCCTTAGGTTGCCCCAGGGTGTTGTGACACTGAGGAGGAGGGGGAACCAAGCAGACGGAGGGGCAGCAGAGCCCCCAGGTTCCACAGAGTGGAAGGTGCAGAGGACGGTGCAGTAGGTATTACCTACTGTGTGCCCAGGGAGGCCAGCAGGCATGCACTGAGAAACGGGCAGTACTGAGCAGCTGCCATCCAACGCTGTACTTCCCCCAGGCCCCCTCAGAGCCTTCTGCCCCTGAGAGCCCAGTCACCAGCTGTGTCCTGACCTGTAGCCCCTGAGTGCTGCTCTCCAGGGCACCCTGACAATCTTGGGTTTTCCTGTGTTGCAGTTCACGGATCAGTGCTGTCCCTGGCCTCCAGCGCGTCCTCCACCTACTCCTCCGTAAGAGCCGCCTCTGTGCTGCGCTGCTTTGTGCATGGCTGGGGGGTCCGGGTGGGACTGGGGCGGGCTCTGTGCATGCCTCTGCCTGGTGCTGAGCCTGTCTGTGCCTCGCTGCCCCCCTGACTGCCTCCTCTGTCTGTCTGTCCCTCTCTGCTCTCACGCTGCCAGGCTGAGGAGAAGATGCAGTCTGAGGTGAGCCCACACCCTCTGCTCACGGCTGCCCTTGCCCCCAGTGAGGGCGAGTGCCTGGCCCCTCTCATCTCTCTGCTCTCTCCCCATAGCAAATCCGCAAGCTGCGCCGCGAGCTGGAGTCCTCACAGGAGAAGGTGGCCACGCTGACATCCCAGCTGTCTGCTAACGTGAGTCCCCGTGGGAGTCCCTGTGGGCCCCCCCACTCCATCCATGCAGGGCATGGGGCTGCTGCTGTATGTGCCCATAGAAGCCCTGATTTCCCCTTCAGCATTTTGCGTCCCACACCTGAGTGGGTGCTCACCTGTCCATGGGTTTTTGCCCAAATGGGGGGGCTCACCTGTTTCTCCACTTCTCCCAGGCCAACCTGGTGGCAGCCTTTGAGCAGAGCCTGGTGAGCATGACATCCCGTCTGCGGCACCTGGCTGAGACCGCCGAGGAGAAGGTGGGTGTATTACAGTGCTCAGTGGGGCTGGGGGGATGCTGGACTTGGGTGATTGCCCCAAGGGTGCTCTTGGGGTGGGCTCTCCATCATCAGGACGCACCCCATGGCTCTCAACTCTGCTGCCCCAGGACACAGAGCTGCTGGACCTGCGAGAGACCATTGACTTCCTAAAGAAGAAGAACTCAGAGGCCCAGGCTGTGATCCAGGGTGCTCTAAATGGCACTGATGTCACCCCCAAAGGTAGGGTATGATGCTGCAGCCCTTCCTGAGCTGGGATGCTCCTGCTGGGACTGGCACAGGGCCCCAGGGCACACCTTCTCATGGGGAAAGTTCATCTGGAGGCTGGGTTCTCTGGGCAGCAGTTTTTCCTCACCTGGGATCCTTGAGCATCTGAAACCAGGGCGGACAGTCAGAACTATCACCATGGGAGGTAATAGTGCTGGCATGTATGGTAATGGTTGTTTGCCAGTTTTGGGAGACCTCCTTGCCAGGCTCTTAGCCAACAGCCAGTTTTACTTGCTTATCTTGACTTCGTTCACATAAGTGCTATTTCTAGCCCAAATACCCCAATGTGAATGCAAGGGGCTGTCAGAGAGATGGCCTGGGACAGCAGTAGAGTGATATGTGCTGTGGGCATCTCTCTGGCAGCACCCATGTGTGTCTGAGCCCCATGTCATTAATTACAAGGCAGCTCCAAGAGCTCAGGAGGTGTTGGGTGGGAGGAGGGATTGGGTGTAGGGAGAGGGGACTATAGGGTGCTCTGGCATTGGGACAGTTGCAGGTGGCTGATCCCTCCTTTCCCAATCTCTCCTGCTTGTCTGGTGGACCCCAGAGCTGCGCATCAAGCGGCAGAACTCCTCTGACAGCATCTCCAGCCTCAACAGCATCACCAGCCACTCCAGCATCGGCAGCAGCAAGGACGCTGACGCCAAGAAGAAGAAGAAGAAGAGCTGGGTGGGTTGGATGGGACACTGGCAGGAGAAGTGGGGCTTGGGGAGCCACTGGCAGGGTCTGCTCAGGGTCAGCCCCACAAACCAGCTGCTCTCCGTCTGCCTTGCCCTTGTAGTGTTGGTGTCCCATGTCCCCTGGGGACTGCAGTAGTGAGTGAGGAGCGTGTAACTGCCAATGGATTTGTGTTGAATTATTGGCTGGGGCTTCTCCAGCCACTTCAGGAGTTTCCCAGCCCTGGCCCTGCATGCCTGCTTCCTTGTGTATTCCCTCATGTTTCCCTCCTGCGCACGCAGGCTCTGACAGTGTGGAGGGCCGACACCTCGGCCAGGCAGCCCCTTCCCTGCTCCAGGCAGCTCTGAGCTGGATGTGTGATTAAGTCTTGCTTTGTTTTGTTTCTCTCCCCCTATGCTGACCTCAACCCTTTTTTTCCAGGTGTATGAGGTAAGTCCCATGCTGTCCAATCCACCACATGCTGTGCCCAGCCAGGACCCTTGCTCCATTTCATGGGATGGTGCTCATACACTCCCCATCCCATCCATCCCACTGGCACTAACCCCAGCACAGGCCATCTTGGGTCCCCAGCCAGGCTGTGCCCGCTTTGACTGCTTCCTTTGATGTTAAGGTCAAATATGCACCCACAAGGAGGGGGTTGAACTGCCTGAGGCAGCAGGAAAGGCTCAGATGGGACCTGTCCCATGGATGGGAGCAGTACCCTTCTTGCCTAGGGAAGGCAGGTACTCTCCTGACTTCCTTTAAGTGAATGTTTTTGGATGGGGACCTTGGTGCAGCCCTGCCAGTGTCACTGAGGGCACTGAGGTGCACTGGCCATCTCTGCTTCTCCAGGGCTGCCTGATGTGGTCTCAAGTGACTCTGTCCATGTCAGCATCCACATAGGTCTCAGTGCTTCCCTGCTTCCACCATCAGCAGAGCTGGATACCTACTCTGTTTACACTGAAATGCAATGCTGCTGCTTTTCGAAACACCCTAGAGCAGTCTGCTGGTGCCTGTGGGGATTGGGACAGATCCTGCGTGTTCTCCATCCCTTCTTTCTCCCACCTTCCCTTGGAGCAGGCCCTGGCACATCTTGTGAGCCCAGGGTGCACGTCCTGATGCTCTCCCACTGGTTAGAGTGACCCGGTTTGGGTCCAGTTGGGTCCCTATGCAGTGTCCATCCCCCTCCCTGGCCCCAGCCTGCTGCTCACCCACTCGTTGCTCTGTGTGTGCTGTGTGCATGCTGCATGCTCAGATGAGACACCAGCATGCTCTGTGGAGGGCTGACTGCCCCTCTGTGCTCCCAGAAGGATCCACAGGGCAGAGGGAGGTCTGGGGTAGGACCCTGGCTCTGCAGTGGCTGGAGCAAGGGACATCCCTGTAAATAAATGTCTCTTGTTGAAATGGCTGTGGTGGGGTGAATGTGGGAATGGATTGGCCCTTCCTGATGGACCAAGGTGATGGTGCTGTGCCTGAACAGCGTGGTGTAGGTGCTGGTGGGGAGCAGGGCTGGAAGACATCCCGACTGGGACATGGGTCCCACTCTTTGGGGCTCTGGTGGCATCCGGGCTGTGGTGAGTGCTGTGCACCCCATCCTTTCACTGTGCCAGCAGAGCAGGGTTAGACTGCAGCCTTTCCCAGCATGGTGGTGCTGCTGCCTCTGTGATGGGTGTGGTTGAACTGGTCCCAGCTCAGACTGTCTGTAGGTCCTGGACAGACAGGGCAGGACTAGGCCAGGTCTGTGCTTGCGAGGCTGCGCTTTGGACTGTCTCTAACAAGGACATTTCCCTCTCCTGTAGCTACGCAGCTCCTTTAATAAGGCCTTCAGCATCAAGAAGGGCCCCAAATCAGCCTCATCCTACTCGGACATTGAGGAGATTGCCACACCAGACTCGTCAGCCCCCTCCTCCCCAAAGCTACAGCATGGCTCCACAGAGACTGCCTCACCCTCCATCAAGTCCTCCACATCCTCCTCCGTGGGCATCGACACAACTGAGTATGTGGGGCCAGGGAGGGCCAATGACAGGGGCTGCAGGCTCCTGCCAGAGACATGTGTGAAACCTGGTCTCTCCCTTGGCCCAGGCTCTTCCAGGCCCACAGCGAGGGCGAGCCCGAGAAGAAGGAGGTGTCAGAGCTGCGGTCAGAGCTGTGGGAGAAGGAGATGAAGCTGACAGACATCCGCCTGGAGGCCCTCAACTCAGCCCACCAGCTGGAGCAGCTGCGGGAGACAATGCACAACATGCAGGTAGGGACCCCTGCCAGCAGCCTGGCTGCTCTCAGTTACCAGAGGGCCCACAATCCATACCTCTTCATCATTGTGTTGCACCCCACGGTGCTGCTGATGCGCAGCTCCTTACCCTGTGCCCTACTTTGTTCTACCCCAGCTGGAGGTGGATCTCCTGAAGGCTGAGAATGACCGTCTCAAGGTGGCCCCAGGGCCATCAACAGTGCCAGGTTCTGTTCCCAGCCATATCACGAGCACATCGGCCTCCTCTTCACCACGGCGCTCCTTGGGTCTCACCCTTGGCCACGCCTTCAGCCCCAGCCTGGGAGATGCAGGTAGGGGTGATAGAGCTGCTGGCAGATGGGAAGGGCTGGGATAGGGAGGAGTGTGTGTGGTGGCAGTGTGCTGCTGCTCACCTGGAGTGAGCAGAGGATCTGCTGTGCTGCCGGTGCCGCTGTCACCCACAGCAGGATTTGCCTCTGGCTGGGTATAGCCAGGCCTGGTGGCTTGGCTCTGGCCAGCACAGCCTCACTGCTCCGTCCCCAGACATGTCCCCCATGGATGCTGTCAGTGCTGGCACCCAGAAGGATGAGCTGACGCTGCGGATTGTGGTGCGCATGCCACCCCAGCACATCATCAAGGGGGTAAGTGTGGGCTGTTTGGGGAGCCTGACCTGTCACCATGTCATAACCCTAACACAGAGGCAAAAGATGCCTCCCGGGACTGGATGTGGTGCTGCAGCACTGCACACTTCTGCCTTGGCTCCTAGGACCTCAAGCAGCAGGAGTTTTTCTTGGGCTGGACCAAGGTGAGCGGGAAGGTAGACTGGAAGATGCTGGATGAGGCTGTCTGCCAGGTCTTCAAGGTAGGGCATGAAGAACACTCTTTAGAGAGCCATCCTTTGACTCTGCTCCACCAAGCCTGCTATTCCCTGGCCCAGGTCCTCCCCAGCTCTCTTGGAGCTGCTCTCTGCTAGCCCTCAGGGGCACTGACAGCCTTGTCTTTCTCCATGTAGGATTATATCACCAAGATGGATCCTGCATCCACGCTGGGGCTTAGCACCGAGTCTGTCTATGGCTACAGCATCAGCCACATCAAGCGTGTGCTGGACACGGAGCCACCGGAGCTGCCACTGTGCCGCCGGGGCCTCACCAGCGTCGTGGTGACACTCAAAGGTCAGTGTGGCAGAGGGGCTCCATGGTTGTGCCATGTCCCTGCTCTCTCAGGGTATTGCAGGGTGTGAGTGGGACCCTCAGCCCTCCCCTGCCCACAGGCTTGAAAGAGAAGTGCGTGGACAGCCTGGTGTTCGAAACACTCATCCCCAAGCCCATGATGCAGCACTACATCAGCCTCTTGCTGAAGCACCGCCGCCTCATCCTCTCGGGGCCCAGTGGCACTGGCAAGACCTACCTGACCAACCGCCTGGCTGAGTACCTGGTGGAGCGCTCGGGCCGGGACGTCACCGAGGGCATCGTCAGCACCTTCAACATGCACCAGCAGTCCTGCAAGGTGAGAGCACACAGCAGTATCCCTCTGGGCACTGCTGCCATGGTCCCCATGGCTGTCATGCCATGGCCCCACACGTGACACCTGGCCTGTTTGTTCCAGGATCTACAGCTGTACCTGTCCAATCTGGCCAACCAGATCGACCGGGAGACAGGCACGGACGTGCCCCTGGTGATCCTCCTGGACGACCTCAGCGAGGCAGGCTCCATCAGCGAGCTCGTCAATGGTGCACTCACCTGCAAGTACCACAAATGGTGAGAGCCCCTCTGCACCCCTCCAGCACAGCCCCATGGCACACACATGCTCCCCGCTGCTCCTACCGAGGTCACTGGGCTGTGGGATGACTTAGAGGCTTTTTCTCATTAATTTTGTCTCTATCACTCACTCAGCCCGTATATCATTGGCACTACCAACCAGCCTGTGAAGATGACCCCAAACCACGGTCTCCATCTCAGCTTCAGGTAGGCATTGTACATCCCTGGGGATCATCCTTGTAGGGTTGTAGGGGACAGGAGCCATCACTTGCCCCTGGGTGTTTCTGTGGTCACATCTTATGACTGGGGACCCTGATTAGGACTGAGTCCCAAGCCTGTCCCTGCCATCCCAGAAGGACCTGATATTCCCCAGCCTCAGGCAAATGCAGGTTAGGGATGCAAGGAGGACCCCAAGAGTGTTGGGAAGCAGGACAGCTTGTGTGGAGACCCAGTCCTGACCGCTGGAGTCTTTCCCCAGAATGCTGACCTTCTCCAACAACGTAGAGCCGGCCAATGGCTTTCTGGTGCGCTACCTGCGGCGGAAGCTGCTGGAGTCGGACACGGACATCAATGCCAACAAGGAGGAGCTGCTGCGGGTGCTGGACTGGGTGCCCAAACTCTGGTACCATTTGCACACCTTTCTGGAAAAGCACAGCACATCCGACTTCCTCATCGGTACGGCCTTGCCTTGCCTTCCTCCTCTGCCCCAGGCTGCAAAGAGCCCTGAGGGCTGGGACCAGACCCTCCCAAAGGAGCTCAGGGGGGCTGACGTGTTCCCTTTGTCTCCCAGTGCCACAAACCACAGCTGGTGGGTGATGCAAACAAGCATTGCTCTTCCCTGAGTTGTCTTTGTTCCTTTGGGAGCTGTCACTAGGAGTGTCAGCCAAGGCTGCCAGTCCTCCCAACACCCTTCCCTGGGCATGGAGGAGCTGTATTTTCCTAAGAGGATCCCCCATGCTTCACCAGGCTTTCGGGGAACAGATTGAACTAGGCAGCCCCTTTCCTTACCTGGGAGATGCTGTCTGCCTGTTGTGCAGGCAAATGGTGCCTAGTCACTGTTCCCAAGGGCACCCTGGCAGCCAGGCGTGCCCACCTCAGTGCTGTGAGCCTCGGGCCCAGTGACTGGAGAGGGGGACCCAGCTCCCATTTCCACTGTCTACCTTCCCCCCGCAGGCCCCTGCTTCTTTCTGTCCTGCCCTATTGGAATTGAGGATTTCCGGACCTGGTTCATCGACCTGTGGAACAACTCCATCATCCCTTACCTGCAGGAGGGGGCGAAAGATGGGCTCAAGGTAGCCACTGCTGCTGGCCCGTGGGAACACAAACCAGTGTGGGGACACAGTGATACAGCTGTCATGGGTCGGAGGAGACGGGAGGCACTGGGATTGTGGGTGCAGGTGACATCTCTGTCAGTCCCTGTTCCCTGTGGCTGTCATGGCACATAGCACTGTCCTGGGGGTTCAGGGTGCCACATCGCTGGCTCTGGCATGTACTGAAGAGGTGGCTGCCACTTGCTCCTTGCCACAGGTCCATGGGCAGAAGGCGGCCTGGGAGGACCCCGTGGAGTGGGTGCGGGACACCCTGCCCTGGCCGTCAGCGCAGCAGGACCAGTCCAAGCTCTACCACCTGCCCCCACCCACCATCGGGCCCCACAACGCCGTGTCCCCCCCTGAGGAGCGCACTGTGAAGGACACCACACCCAGCTCCCTGGACTCGGACCCACTGGTACGCTGGCCAACAGGAGGGTCTGGGAGGAGCTGGTGGCAGAGCAGGGTGGAGCTTCGCTTTCCCAGTTAATTCTCGGTGTAAAAAGCCTGATTTAGGGATGCAGAAACACTTTGTGCTCCTGGGAGGGACAGTGAGTGCAGGGTGGTGGCACTGGCAGGTGGGCTGCACACCAGGACACAGGGGGATGTGCTAGTGGAAGGACATGACATGACACTCCATGAGGTGCCATGTCCACATGAAGAGCCACAGACAGGCACACATGTGCTCCTACATGTCCTGATGTATCACCTGGATTCACCTGCTGACTGGTCAGCTGCCACAGGTGACACCAGCTGATGCTGCTTTGGCACACTGAGTCTTGAGCATTCCAGCTGTGCCCGAGGCTGGATCCTGGCACAAGGGAGGGATTTTGCAGCATCTCTGGGATTTGTTTTTCCCTCTAAGGAGCTTCCCAGCAAGGATGGTTTGGGAGGGCTAAGTGGCCTCCCCAGTCACCTGCAGGCCTCCTGTCCCCACAGATGGCCATGCTGCTCAAGCTCCAGGAAGCCGCCAACTACATTGAGTCTCCAGACCGTGAGACCATGGTGGACCCCGACCTGCAGTCGACTCTGTGAAGCCTGGATGTGCCAGCCCAGGTGGAGGGGAGCTGCTGCTGGGCTGCTCTCCTTTTCCTTTGGCATCCAGGAGCGTGGGGCTGGCGAGCAAGTGGAGAGGAGAAGAGCAGGGCTCTGGGATGTCCTGGTGGAAACTCGGCTCATCTGTGAAAGAGCATGAGTTGTTATGTCTCCTCCCGACCCTGGGGGTAGGAGAATCCTGGTTTCTCTTCTTTGTTTTTTCTGTCTCTATTGCAAACTCTTGGGCTTTGGGACCAAGGTGACCGCTGAGGCTGAGCCCCCACTCCCGGGAGCTGCAGGAAGGCCCCTGCGTGGGGCAGGGACCCCGTGGGAGCCACCTGGGCCACAGCTGGGGGCACAGGAGGAGCTGGGGCTGCAGGATGAGGGCATGGGCATGAGGGGCTCTGGCTCCCTCTGTGCCCACCAGGCAAAGCCACTAGAGCCTCCACTGTGGAGCTCCCACCCCCTACCAGCCAAGGGGAGCATGGCTCTCACTGCTCTCTCTGCATTCCCTGTTCCACCTTCATGGCAGCCGCTGTGAGCAGGACAGCCCAAAAACAATGCTTTGGTTATTTTATTTTGTTTCCTCCCTCCCCTTTTCCTTTGGCCGAGTCCAGACTTTGCTTTGGTCCCTTTTTTGTTCTGGTTCTTCGCTCTCCTGGCCTGGAGCCTGTGGTCTGGTGCCTACTGCTTCCCTGGCAGCAGTGCCCTTCCCCTTTAGTTTCTTTTGCAGCTGTTGGTTTCACCACTCAAACAACCTCTGTCACAAAACTGGTGCTCACTGGATGATCTCCAGTCCCTGAACCCACCTCCTGGGGCCACACAGGTTGGCTGAGGTGGGACTTGAAGGCCAGTGTGGAGGCGGGTGGCAGCAGGCGGCTCCCAGAGCAGCCCCTCGCATGGCAACTCCCTCCTCCTGAAAGACACAGGGCATCCGGACGCTGTCTCCCACCAGGCTGGGATGCCACAGGGCATCCCCTCCCTGAGGTACTGGGGTATGGGGAGTCTGCTGCTGCCCCATCCCTGGACAGCTGGATGCCATCCCTGTCCCCTTGGTGGAGCGGGGGCCCAACCAGCCTCCCATCCCCTTGGTGCTGCCAGGCCTGGGGCTGCGGGTTAATGAGCCTGGGGTTGCTCCCCATGCAGCCTGCTCCCTCTGGCCCTGTGCCTTCCTGCAGCCTGGCAGAGTCTGTGTTGGTGCTTTGGGGACACCTGGGGTTGCCATATGTCCTCCTGGCCTTCTCCCACATTGTCAAAAGGCCAGACTCCATGGAGAGGGTCAGCCCCGGTGCTGCTGTGGTGCCTTAATCCCTGGCTGTGTGGGAAAGGGGGCATGTGGGGCTTGGGATAGTGCTGTCACAGCCTGCTCCAGTTCCAGTGTCCTCTGTCCCCAAAGCCAGCTTGCCTGGGATGGAATGAATGGGCTGGCAGTGGCCAAGCTGGGACTGCTGCCTGCAGCACCCTCGCTGGCCTGTCCCCTGCCATTGGCTGCAGGGTGCCCTGCAGGTCCCCACCCCTGTCTTGTGCTCACCTGGGCTCTGGGGGCCCCTTCCTCCCTGCTGCCCTCCAGCTCAGCCCCTACATTCATCCAGGGGGCCCTGGAGAGACGTATGAGGAGAGGTGACCCCAGCTGAGCCCACCCTGTCCCCAAACTGCCAGGCTGGGGACTGGGCAGCCTCAGCCCCCTGTGCCACGGCTGGTGTGGCCTTCAGGGACGCCTCACACCCCTCTGGAACGGGCATCTCCCGCAGTGCCCTTGGAGGCTGCTGCCACCTCTGCCCTCGGTGCTCTTGGCCGGTGTGTCCCGCCTCGCCACCCCATGGTGCTCACTTCTCCCACTTCTCAGTCTGTCCGACAGCCTCCTGCTGCTGCCGGGGCCGGCCAGCCCGGCCCCTTTCCACGGGGATCTCCGGGATCTCCTCCCACTGCTGGCTTGGGCGTTAGGGCTTTCTGTTCGCCTTCTCTTGTGTTGCTGACGTCGAGGACTCGTTGTACATAGATCTGTCGTGGAACGCCCTGTGTGGGTTGGGGGGGCCGGCCCTGCGCCTTGTCCCTGGTTTTGGGTTTTTTTTGTACTCTGTGATGACTGTGCTGTGCTGACTTCTTTTCTGATTGTATGAGACTCTGGCCCAGCAGCCACTCGAGGTTAGCAGTGAGGACCCAGCTGTCTCCTCCAGCCTCTCTCACCCTCCTTGGGACCCTGGTGCCCAGGGTGGGAAGGGACTGATGCACCTTTGGGGTGCCCAGGTGCCCTGAGGAGTCCCATGGGAGGAGGGGTAGCCTTGCCTGAGCTTTCTTTTCTGACACTTCCAGGGAGCCACCCAAACCTGGACCAAAGTGTAGTCGTCCCCCACTGCTGAGCATTCCCTGGCCTATGTCCTGCAGGTTTGCGCCGTTGCTCCCCAGATTGGGGCTGCCCCTCATCCCATCACCTCGGCCCTGGAAACTGGAGGGGAGTAGCAGGTGGGGGTGTGATCCAGGAGGAATCTCTGAGGGAAGGAGAAGGACCATGCCAGCAGGTGGGCCCTGGGATTGGCATGTTTGGGGGCCTTGGCTGGGTTTACTTGGCCAGAAGAGCCAGATCCTGGTGGATTCCTCCTGGCTTACACCAAGCACCTCGTGTCCCCAAGGCTGGCAGCTGTCTGGGGGCCAACCCCTGGCTGTGGGCTGAGCCCCTATGTCCCCAGGGAAAGGGTCCAGGGATTGCTCTAACTCATCGTCCTGCCACCTCCAAGGGTGCCTGTTGTCCCAAAGGTGCCTACTACCCCCAAAGGTGCCCATCACCCCACAAGGGTATCTGCTACCCCCAGAGGTGCCAGTTGCCCCCAAAGGTGCCCATGGTTCCTGGGAGTCCCCCTGAGGGGCTGGAGGTGTGTGATGTCAGCACCTCACCCTCCTGCCCCCTTGAGCTGCTGCTGCCTGGTGGCCTGAACCTTACAATTTTAGCTTTTTTCTATTAAACACAAACAACCTTTTTTTAATTAAATAAAAGATGAAATGGACAAATTCCTGTTCTAGATTATCTGTGTAATGGACTGGGTTTTGTGTTTCTTAACTGCATGGTATTCCTGCCAAGGGGTTTTATAGCACTTTTTAAATTTCTCTTTAAGATTTTGGTCCAGATTTCTACTGCTCTTGCCTGTCTGTTTTTGCTTTTTCCTTGCACCCTCCATGTTTGTAAACTCGCTCCATTTTATACCTGATGTTGAGACCCAGCCCCACGTTGTACATAGCTGCGGGAACAATCATAGGGAACAAACAAACACCATCTGGACTCTTTCCACGATTAGTTGGTTTTTACTTCAAAGAAATTTTAAAAGAAACATAAAAGGAAGCCAGGAAAAGGCTTGAGGATATTCTGAAAAGACAGAAACAAATCCAGCCCTGCACCAAGTCAGCTCCTGCTGCCCACACTGCCCGCACCAACTGGCATGTCTCTTCTCAGTCGTCTGTCTAACACCATTGGATTCAATAAAGTGATCTCCTGTACTGTTGGCTCCTGGTCCTGTGTCTGTGGCTCTGTTCCTGTGTGGCAGAGAGGTGGGTAGTTGTGCACATCATAGAATCATGTGATGGTTTGGATGGAAGGGACCTTAAACCTCATCTCGGTGGAGGGGACACCTTACACTATCCCAGGTTGCTCCAAGCCCCTGGCTTTGGAACACTTCCAGGGATGGGGTGGCCACAGCTTCTCTGGGCACCCTGTGCCAGAGCCTCACCATCCTCACAGTCAAGAATTCTTTCCCAATATCCCATCTAAACCTGCCATCTGGCAGTGGGAAGCCATTCCCCCTTGTGCTGTCCCTCCAGGCCCTTGTCCAAAGTCCCTCTCCAGCTCTCCTGGAGCCCCTTTATGCACTGGAAGGGGCTCCGAGTTCTCCCCAGGGCCTTCTCCAGGCTGAACATCCCCCATCTCTCCCAGCCTGGCTCCAGAGCGGAGGGGCTCAAGCCCACAAAGCATCTATCCCTGTCCTTGGTAGTTGCCTTCCTGCAAAATCTGGGAAGGGAGCCTTATAAGTGCTCCTGGGTTGAAATCTTAGCTGTTTTGCAGGATGCTGGGAGTAGTTTTAGGGGTTGGGGACCTCTCTCGAGGTCACACTCCTGTAAAGTGGGCAGAAATGCTCCTGTTTGGAATCTGCAGTTCAGGACATGGAAAGCAGGAGGTCCCTTTCCTGGGGCAGGAGAGAAAGGTCCTGCCTGAGGTGAGTGGGGGGGAGGAGGGCTCGGGGTGAGTGGGCATTCCCAGGGCCCCTTTTGCCTAACCAGGTCTCATCTGATCTCCCATTTGAAAGGACATGATGGTGACAAATGCCACATCAGCAGACAGACAGAGATGGGTGGCATAGTGTCCCTTGTGCAAATCCAGTTTGCAGAGCACGGCTGGAGGCTGAAGCAGGCAGGGAAAGCCCATTCTTCCCGCGGCGTCTCCAAATCTGTTTTCCCCTCCGGAGTGCGATACTGGAGTGGGTACAGATGCTTCAGGAGCCGTTAATTAATGACGGGATTGCGATGAGCTGTAAGAGGCTGCAGTGGCGGATCCAGGGCCAGGAGAGGGCTCTTCCCATCGGCTCCCGCTCCT